CGTAGGGCTGGCAGCACCTCATAAACCACCAGCGCATGAGCACGGCACTCCAGAGGCTGGCCCTATGGATACCGCTAAGGCAAAAAATGCTGACAACTGTGCCCCTGGGTGCGCACACACCTAGAATGGAATCGACATGAGCAAGCACTCGAAGAAGAAGGACTGTTCTCACCTTTTACCCCTCGGGGTGCCCCAAAGGGCCGGCCCAGGACTCCACCCCGAACTGGCCAGCTGCATGGGGTAGAGAGAGCTGTGTAGTACTGATAAACATCACCTCCAACAGGTCCATTCTGCCTCCGGATGTTCCCCTGCTCTGCCCTTACTGAGATGCTATCAACTCCTGTCTGATTCAAGCCATCTCTGTGCATGTTTGAACTCTCAAATCCCGGCCCATGTGCTAACCCCTGGGGGAGGCAACTGGTGCTCCATGGGGAGCTGAACTGGAGAAGCACAGAGCCCAGGGAAGCAGCTCAACCACTTCAGTTAAGGGAGAAGCTCCACTATCAACACAGACTCGTGTCACTTTTCAAGCCCCCAGCCACAGAGGACAAGACCATCAAATGCCCATGATCTAGCACACAAGCACACAGCTGTCCCCCAGCAGCATGAACCTGGCCCACTGCTGTTCACACACAAACCAGCATCAGACAACGTGCCACCAGCAGGACTGAACCACAAACTGGTTGCCACTGAGTGGAATCCATCCCTTCTGGGACTTGAACCGAGGAACGCGACATCTAAAAGCAGCAGCAGCTGCTCTACCATTTGAGCTTAAGGAGAACCCCCGCATCAGCTGTCACTGAGAATAGTGCTGAGATACGTTTTCAGGCCTTAGCTGGGTGACGCTCACACAGCTGGGGTGGATGTATGTCAGCAGATACTGTGCAATCAGAAATGGGCCAGAAGCCAAAACTTAGATCCAAACAGCCCCCAAACTTTTGGAAAGTTCCCAATTGGAACCCAGCTCTAAATTTCCCTCTTTAACTCTCTCTCTAACAGACCAAATGGAACCCCCAGATCCAAGTACTCCCAGATACAGAAGTCTTGGAGACCTGGCTTCAGATCCAGATTCTGTGGCTCTGGCCCATTTCAGACACGCCCATGTAATAGATATAAACAGCTGCAATGCCCCCTGTCTGATCACAACCCATTCCACACTCGAGAAAGGCCTCAGGAGAGAATGTACTGGACCATATGAGAGGAGTCCCCAAGTCAGTGGCTATTCAGAAGATCCCATTTTGAATTGCACAGAGCTGTGCGAGACCCCCGAAGTGGCGCTGACACGTCCCCTCGTGTTGAGAGTATCTGACAAAGCTGCTTTTGTTTGTAAATCTGGGACGTCACAAAACCGAAGTGTCCTCCTGCAATTCTATTCATGAAGAACGTGCGACGGTCACTGAAAATAAAGGTCAGGGTGTTTCCAGTGCTAAGGAGCCAGTCCTGCCTCCTCTTCCGCGTGCAAAGGGAAGCCCAGCCGCTGGAACCCCACACATGCTGCACAGCCCAGATCGGTGAGGTCTCCTTGGAGAGCAGGACACTGTGGATTTGGAGCCAGGCACCGTTAGCGTTGAGTAGCTGCTCTGGTGCCATGAGAAGAGGATTCCTCCTTGCAGAGTCCCCGGCACCTGGCCCATTTACTTGGGGTGAGGGGAAGATTTTGGGCCTAGGGGCTCAGTTCTTTAAAGGAGGTAGCTGTGGGTGCCCCAGCAAAAGCACGTGTACTGAAGCATGCACAAGACATGCAGTCGTGCTGTGTGACAGCCAATGTGCACAATCAGACCTGCAGAGTTTGAGGGTGCAGCAAGTGTGCTTTGGGACCCACGATTTTCAAGGCCTGGGCCTACACAATACCAATTGCGTTTTAGTGTAATCTTGCTATTTGTACTGTACATGCCACGATGTGGTAGGGGTTCTCCTCGCCTCTTTCCCCAGCCTTTCCTCTGTTCCTTTCAGCCATGCTTTCTGCTGTGTCAGGATCCTTATCTGAACATCTAAACATCTTCCAGCTGGTGTTTAATCTGTAACTATTCAAACAGTTCTCACTGAGATTATGAAAAGCAGGCGCCTGAAATCAAGCTTCTAAAGTCGATTTAGGCTCCGAGATAAAGTGACCCGATTTCTCAAAAGTGCTGAGCGTCCAGCAGCGTTCACTGACGTCAACGGGAGCTGGGTGCTCAGCACGATTGAGAAATCAGGTCACTTGATTTAGGAGCCTACGTACAGATTTAGGAGCATAACTGGACGTGCTCTTTTTGAAAATCCGAGGCCCCGTTACTTCTCACATCCCTTCTCGCGCTGCGTTCCGTTCCTGCGAGGGAACGGCAGAATGCTACTGCTGCTCTAGGGCCTTTTAGCAAGTGGCAATATTAGCACGGAACAATGGCAGGATGGCCCCTCCCTGGAGCATCGGCGGGATACAGCTTAACAGTGTTTCGCCACCCTGGGAATAATAACCCTCAATGCAAATGGCTTTCTGGTAATTACTGCGTTGATGACTCCATTTGAAACAGGCAGCCCTACCGTTGAGCTCTGTCTGGCTAGAATATCACCAAAATGACTGCAAAATTTCACCTGGTCGTCTTTTTCCTACTTTCTTTGCAATGCACTGGAAAGTTGCGAGGAAAGTTAGCTCCAGTTTATCCTGTAGCAAAGGCTAGGAAGTCGCTGGCCTTCTGGCTACTAAGAAGCATCCTCTTCCTCTGGGGGATAAGGTCTGTACTTTGCGCTACTGACAACAAGATAAACAACAGAACAGATGACGCCCAAAAGGCAAACAGGACCAGATGTGCTGTCTAATTAAATTTGTTCACTAATTGCTTTAAAATGTGGCCTAGCAGTGTTCCGTAAACAATGGCCAAATGCAAGGGAGGGATTTTATCCCGAGCAATCTTTAGGCCACAATTTTCAGGGGCAAGTAGCGGAGGCTTTAGCCACACTTCCTTAGTAGAGCTACCAGGGGAAATGCACACGTTTTACTTCAGCTGTCAAGATATATGGTGGGCACTTAAGCAAGGATTCCCCAGAGGAGTTGACTTGACATCAGGAGTAGACAGCTCTATCTCTGAGGCAGTAATAATGTGTCACTGGAGAAGGACATTAATTATTACTGAATGGCTCTTCAGAGCATGAAAAAAATACTAAGAATTGAGGGGATGGAGGACAGGCTGTGAAATGCAGTGAAGCAAAGTGAAGGTCAAGGTTTTAATTGACTAAATAAGCAGAATTTCTTCCCCCGAACGTAACCTTCCAAAATCCCCAATTTGGAACAAATGAGGGAAAAGCTCCTTGGGTTTTGTTCCACTGGCAAGTGAAAAACGTGTTACAAAAATGCTCTGGTAAGCCTCCTTGTGATATGAACTGCAGCGAGCCCCATGTATTTATCAAGGAGCGAGGTAGCCTGGTTTTTGTCTAGAAGCCGATGGACTTTGGTCTGGGGAAGTTTCTCCTCCAGCCCAGAGCGAGGTGTTCTGAGAATTTCAGCTCAGAGAAATACGAACGCAAAACAAGTGCGGTTCTTTAAAAGGGACTCCCAGGAATGACAAATTGGGAAGATGAACTGAGGTCAGTATGAGTTTCAGGGGATCAGAGGCTGCTCCCCTGGGCCGCGGCATGTTCCTCCCAAAGGGAGGGCGCTAAGAACAAGTCAAGAGAGGAGTGCATCCATCAAGCCACGGAGGTGTGACTATAAAGCATGACCTGTGATTGTCACTTGGTGCCAATGCAGTGCACCAAATTCAGGCTGGAGAGATCTCATTGGCCTAGCGAAGAGAACTGGGTGACTAATTCATAGAGCACTTGGATGAATTTTGCCTCTTTCTCTGTCCGTGAACATCTTGCAATGTTCTCAAATGGATTCGTTATCGGAAGTTCTTCACCCTCTTGGGTCTTTGCGAGTATTCAATATTCAAAAGTGGAGCGGATTTGATTGGACAGATAGGTCACGTGGTTTGTTTCTGACCCCTGATTGAATGAGCCTCACTCTTAGAATCAGCTGTCCGGGGTGATGGCTCATGATCACGAATTTGAAAGTCTCTTTCTGCCAATCCTCCACAGCGTTTGCTCTTGTAGTGAACATTCCTGCCAGCAGAAAGCGAGCACAGAAACGGGGAATTCAAAGAAATGTCCATGCATATTTTCTGCAGCAGTCACCCAGCTCTGTTGCTAACGGGCTATTTGTACCAATAGCTCAGTATCAATTTGATACAGTATTTTATATTGATGTACATTTTTAAAAAAAGTCTGGAAAAGTTCTCTCAAAATCCGGAGGGTTTTTCTCCCCTTCAATCTGGCAATGGAGCTCAGATAATTTTGCAACTGCCCAGCCTTCAGTTAAAAAAATAAAACAAATCCCCCCTCCCCCCAATAAAAAACTCTTCCTTGGGACTGGTTTCATTAAGCCTGATTTCCAGAGATGCTGAGAACCTGCTGCTCCAGTGGACTTTCACTGGAGTCACAAGTGACAGTCATGATCTTTTTCTCATGCCCCACAGGCATGTTTCTGGCCTTGCTGAGCATTCTTTGCTGCTTGTGAACGACAACGGCCAAAACAGACAAACTCCTTGTGCTACGGCGAATGCACCGCTACGTATGGTCACCACACCTGCTTACCCTGACGGTGGAGAAGAAACCACGCCCAATACACTGGCCAGGCCATGAAACCAACAGACCATGGGTTAAATGTTCGGACCCACGACATCTTTTGAAATCGACAGGCGGGCTTCCGAGCTACAGCACGAGCATCATTCATAGAAACCAAGTGGACTAACTGTGGGTACCACGGGGCATCAGCTTGCCTTACAAACCCAAAATCTTTCCTAAGGGCGCTATGCTTTGGATCCTGGCTATAACCATGTTCTGCATCTGGCTTCGGGACTGGCATTTTCTAAGCCTCACCAGCCACTGCAACAGGTAAGCAAAGCCTAGTCACCTCTTCAACTCTGCCCTTAGGTCATCACAACTAACAAGCCACAGGCTGTCGCACCGTTTGTGGGCGTGGTACAGACGGTGTCTAAAAGATCATTTTCCTCCCTCCCCTGCCCCACCCAAAAAGAAACCAATCAGGTTCCTATGCTGGCACTGCAATCCGGCAAGCAATCCCAAATAAAAAGCCTTTACGCCCCGCCTCTATTGCACTTTCCTCTTGCTCAAGCATCACCAGTTCAGCGCACAGAATTTGAAGGAAACGGTCAGCAGGGGGGTCCCCGCTTTGCAGGGGTTTGGCTGCATTACGTGACCCGTCAGTGGAAGAGCTGTGCAGCCCGTGTGTACGCACAAGCACACACGCGTGTGTGTGGAGGGGAGTCGAGGGGTACGGGCATGTGCACGGGGGTGACGGATGGAGGGACACAGTCTTTTCTTTTTTTCCAGTGTGAAACAAGGTCCATGATTTTAAAGTGGTTTTTTGTTGTTGTTTTTTTTTTAAAAAAAACAAACAAACGGATGAGCAGGGGGCGGGGGAGAGAAAACCGGGAGGGGCCCCACCCCGTTACCCTGGCCTGTAAACTAATCCTCAGAGAGTCTCTTAACTCCTTATTTCTCAGGCATCTTACTGGCTCCCCCTTTCCTGTTGGTGGGTAGCTTGGTGCCTCTCTCTCTCCCTTCGGGGCTGCAGTTGGATCCTTCCCAGGGCTCTGTGGCTTTCTTATGATTAGTCTTTGCTGCCGAGCTCTCTTTGCCTTTCGGAGACGCTTCCGGGGGCCTTTCCTTGGGTTTCCTCCCCCTTTTCTTCCCAGTTGTGCTTTTCTTTTTCTCCTCCTGGCTGGAGGAAATCTGGTCCCTGTTCTTTTTCTTCCGGGCCGCCTCTGAAGAGGTTCGGAACCAGTTCTGTGTCCAAAGGGAAAAAGAACAGGACCGGGGGTTAGTGGCCCTCCCAGGCCAGGGAGCACTGTCCCAGCCACGGCATTTACACCTCCCCCCGTCCTTGTTATAAAAACCCCTATTTTCCCTCCTGGCCTCACTCTCACCAGGGAAAACTCCTGAACTCCATAGACATCCAGGAAACCCCCTAGATTTCCCTCTCTGACCTCTGAAATCCCCCTTATTCCACCCTCCTGCCCCGTTCCCCCAGTTTTAACTTGCCAATGGGTCCTGTGCAATGATGCAGCACATCTCTTGCCACAGCCTGAATGCTTCTCTTAGCATCTGTCCACAGAGGCACTGACATGTAATGATGGGAGCGGGGGGAGGGGAAGCAGGAAAGGGGGGAATCTTTGGGGCAGCTTAAGTTTTGCAAATGCCACAAATTAGTTTTGGATGCTCCTGACTCCCAGCCCCGGTGCCTACCCACTAGACCACACTGCCTCTCATAACAGGGCCCTGAGCTGCAAACCTTTTCCTCCTATAGTTTACACCGTTTTTCTATCTAAAGGGGGGAAAAATCTGTGCTGTGTATTAAGGACAGAAGGAATAGTGCACTCTGTATGTGCTATTCAGGTGTGGATTGTATCTCTCTTCACTTTAAAATGTCTCTCTCCTCTTCCTCCCCTTTCACCCCCTCCTCCCAGTTTCTCTCTATTTCCCCTCACCTCCCAGGCTCCGCTCCACTTTCCCCCCATGTTTTCAGTTCTCTCTTCCCTTTCTCTCAGTCTCCCATAAGCAGAACGGGAACCCAACCACCTTCAAATCAGAGTCAAGCTTTTCAGCCTGGGGGTGGGGTTGGAAAGTGGGCTGAATGAGTTTGCCACTGCCCACCCTGAACACAAAGTGTGCAAAGTAAGGCCATAGGAGCGCCGTGTCTCCGGACGTGCCAGAGACTAGACCGGGTGCTCTGGGGCCTCAGATGAAGGTCCGACAGGTGGGACAAGGAGGGATGGCCAAAAAGGCTCACCTCCCGCCTCTGCCTAAACCAGGGGTGGGTAAACTTTTTGGCCCGAGGGCCACATCGGCGTTGTGAAACTGTATGGAGGGCCGGGTAGGGAAGGCTGTGCCTCCCCAAACAGCCTGGCCCCCGCCCTCTATCCGCCCCCTCCCACTTCCCGCCCCCCTCAGAACCCATCCAACCCCCACTCTATTTGTCTCCTAACCGCCCCCCCCGGGACCCCACCCCCTATCCAACCCCCCCTGCTCCCTGTGCCCTGACTGCCCACAGGAACCCCCTGCCCCGTATCCAACCCCCCGCCCCCTTACCATGCTGCTCAGAGCAGCAGAAGCTTGCAGCCCCGCCGCAGCCAGCCACGCCACCCGCGCTGCCCGGCAGGAGCAGCGGGCCAGAGCGCTGGTGGTGCGGTGAGGTGAGGCTGTGGGGGAGGGGCCGGGGGCTGGCCTCCCTGGCCGGGAGCTCAGGGGCCGGGCAGGACGGTCCCGCAGGCTGGATGTGGCCCGCGGGCCATAGTTTGCCCATTTCTGGCCTAAACACTGCTAGCTCCAATGGGAGCTTCTAGTGGACACAGATGAACCTTAGCAGGAAACAGCCTCAACCATGCTCCGAAGCCCCATTGCACCCTGCCCACTTCCTTACCTCTGAGTGAGTCTTGAGGATATGGTACTTGACTCCACTTTCTGAGCTAAACTCCTTCTGGCAGAGAAGGCACCGGTACTTCCCAACAGAGTGGTCTCCCTGAAAGGCAGAGAACATCCTCCTGTATTCCAAAGTAGGTTCAAACGTGCGCTGCAGGAGAGAATACAGCCTCCCTCTCTCCCCACAACCCAGAAGCCCCTTGAAAATCTCTAGGCATTCTCTGCAGAAAATGGCCTGTTGCTTGGGCCCATGATGATGGGTCCAGGGCCACTTGAAGGCCACAAATGCCCCCTCAGCATCCAGAGCTCAAAGACTTTGTCTTCAAGGTAAATGCGTAGATGTATTCCTAAAATACTGCATCCATGGTTATGTGGACACGCCAGTGCCCCTGGAGCTGTAGGCCAGGAATTTACCATGTAATCCGGCCCCTTATCTGTTACAGTGAGAGGGCTCCTTCTCCTCAGAAGGATCCAAAAGGAAGAGAAGCTTCCTTTGCTACAAATGGTGGACAAATGTTGGGCTTGTGTGCAGGTGCATGCACATTCGCATATCTGACTTGTGTGGGCAATTACTGCAACCATGGTAAAGCTGCAAACATTCTCATGCTCAATTAGACACCTGTGCATGCAATTACCCACACAACATGTGCAAAGCAGGTGCACAGATGCACACATGTACCTGAAAACTTGGACCTACTCCCTAGAACACCCATGAAAAACATCAGGGAACATGATGTGTAAGACTTATTCCCTGGGGAAGCAAAGAAGAGCGAGGAGCTTCCACACAGAAACAGAGAGGCATGTTTTCCTCCACAATGGTGTGGATTTTAATTGCCTGAAAGCCAGGAACTTCAAAGCTGCAGTTCCCATGGCAACTGTAATTGTACCTGTGTATCAAGGCATAAAAGTAACCCCTTCTACAATAATACAGAACACCACATATGCACCCCAAGGGGAATGAATGATGGTTTCTGTGGAAGCGAATATGGGAATGTCCTGGTGTTTGTGCATTTAAAATCTCGACTGTAATATTACATTAACAGACTTTTTTTTTCACTTAATATCGCTAGCTACACAATTTCTTTACTGTCAGCAAATTCAGTGATCATTAAGAACACCTACTGGGAGTGAAACTTCTAATTTATGATCAATGGGTCTTTCCTAATTTTGCCTTTATACGCTTGAACAGGCCATTAAATTGCTGGATTTTTGTTATTAGAGTGCTTGTGAAAATGAATGATTTTTCGACTCTGCCTCGGTCCACTGGCACAGAGGAGATAATGCGTTCTTTATTGACCAGGGAATTATATATTAGGCCCTCTGGGCGATGTATGGGCTCTGTGGGAATTTCTTCATAATTGGGTTCATGTTGTAAATTTTATGGCAGACAGGTCTTTCATTTCCTAGCTGTGTCTGCACACAGGCAGGCCGGGCCAGCCCAGACTCCCACTTCACACCTAATCCAGAAACGATCATGCAAAATCACAGATCATTGATCCATATTGACCCCAGTGCAATGATTCTGCGTCAGTTTGACCCTTCTCAATGATCAATAAATATATTCTAAACACTCCACTGGGATTTCATGAAAAATACAATTCAGTCCAGGTCCTTAGGCTTCATAAGAATTACTGGATGGTGTCTGCCAGACACCCCCACTACCCACCCCACTGATTAGTAGAGAGGATTATTGTAGGTTTAAATCCTGCTGTCTTTTTTCCAGCAAAACTCCCTCTGAAGTCAATGCTAGAGTAAGAGCTGAGGCCCTGTTCCTCACACTAGTGCTGACTTGTGTGTTATGAGTTCTACAGCAGCCATGGGGCATAGTATCCTCCAACAAGGTTCCTCCATTGTATTCTCCAACTAACCTCCAAAGCTGTCTTATGGCCAATAGTCTGTGTGTGGGAGCCACATGTCCCCTGCTCTGCCTGTCCCACATTGGACTCCAAAACTACATCTCCACACAGTGGTAGAGGACACCTGCAGGCTGATTGCGCAGGAATCTCCCCATGCCACGGGACTGCACTGAGTCTATGTCCTTCCCTGCACAAGTTGGAGAGCGGGGTCGCTCCTGAGTCAGGACGACATGATTTGATCTGTACTCTGGATGTTAGAGGCAAGCCTGTAGATTGCTGCTAGCACAGACTACATCAGGTATCGGCAATCTTTGGCACGCGGCTCGCCAGGGTTTGTTTACCTGCTGCATCCACAGGTTTGGCCGATCGCGGCTCCCACTGGCCGCGGTTCGCCGCTCCAGGGGGCTGCAGGAAGTGGCGCGGGCCAAGGGATGTGCTGGCCACCGCTTCCCGCAGACCCCATTGGCCTGGAGCAGCGAACCGCGGCCAGGGGGAGCCGTGATCGGCCGAACCTGCGGATGCAGCAGGTAAACAAACCGGCCCGGACCACCAGGGTGCTTACCCTGGCGAGCCGCGTGCCAAAGGTTGCCAATCCCTGGTCTACATGTTGCAGAATAAGGCACATGAATTTGTGCATTTAGAAAAATACATGGGCAGTTGCTCGGCTGATTTGTGAGTGCAGTTACCACAGCTGTGCACTCAAGTGACCAGTTAGGGATGTAAGAGATCATTTGTGCATTTGTTTCCTGTGCACCGCCATGGTAATTCCATCTACAATTAAGGGTGCAACTGCCTGCATAGTTTTTGCAAATGCAGGCCTGCATGGTCTGGAGTCTCTTAGCTTTGCTGTGAAGGGGCCTCTTTTTCTGGCAAGCAGGGTGATTTTGCAATCCATCTAAACAACAGTTACAATCTCCTGCATAGGCTGTTTTATTTTGTGAAAACTCTGCTTTTTGTGCAGGATTTCTGCATATGATTTTCTAAACTCTCTCATTAGTGTTCTAGTTAAAGGTAGTGGGGAGAGGGCTGTGAACGTTTTCAATAATCAGCAGGTAGGGTGACCAGACAGCAAATGTGAAAAATCGGGACGGGGGGCGGGGGGTAATAGGAGCCTATATAAGAAAAAGACCTAAAAATCAGGACTGTCCCTATAAAATCGGGACATCTGGTCACCCTATCAGCAGGTATGAATTTGACCCATAGGAACTGAAGAGTTGCCTTCTGGAATCTACTACATTCAATGTGATTTAGAGCTGGAAGGATTTCAGGAGATAAAAGTTTTACAAGTTCTTTCTTGGTTCCAATTCAATGGTTCTGCACTGAGTCGCCCCCTCTTGCGGTGGGCCAATGTTCCTGGAGTTAATTTAAACTGGAAGCACTATTCCTGTATCTATCGGGTGTAACAGCCCTCACGCTCCACTACAGTGGAGGGCATGTACTTGCCTAGATAGATAATGTGACTATGTGGCCATTTCCCTGCCCTTGGTTCTACTCTTCATGTCACACACCGTATTTCTATAGGCTGGGATTTCCGACGTGGGTGAGTGGAGTTATGTGCCCAAGTTAATAGGAGTTAGGTGTCTAATTCCGTTAGCACCTTCCTCTTTGGCACTGAACGATGGGTTATTTTGTATTTACTGTACTGTGTGTTAAGCATCAGAACCCTGCTAGACGGTTAGGATGAGAATCACTCCGTCTAAGGAGGAGCCTAAGCAAGGATGCCAGAGGCACTTAAGCCCCGTGCTTGACAAACTAGACAGCATGTTAAGGCATGTCTCTCTACTCCCTGCTGACCATGAGGGTGGGGTCCGTACCTGCCTGAATAAGGTGGCATGGCAGATAGCACTGAGCGTACGCTGTATCAGGCTCGATACATGGCAGATACACAGCAGGGTTTCCCATCTCCATGGGTGTGTGGCAGGGCTGTGTTCTGTCACCACGGCTGTTCGGCATCGGCACTGACTGGTTGATGGATAAGCCTGTGACGGCAGCTGTCATTGAACTGAACCCTGTTCTGCTTTGAGATCTTCAGTATGCCAACGACATTGTCTTGTTGGCTCAGTTTGGTGAATCGCTGCAGCTGAGGGCCGGTCTAATTGGGCAAGAAGCAACACACGCTGGTCTGGTTATTAAGCCAGGTAAGTGCCAGGCCACTACCATCAAGCAGCGTCCAACTCCAGATTGCAACCCGCTCAGTATTAACCTGTGCGGACGGTGTATCGAGCTGGTGGCAGCTGTCAAATACTTGGGCAGCCTCGAAGGCGGTGCTGGAAGATGCTCAAAAGATGCAGATGTGCTTCCAGCAGCAGCAGCTGCTGCCGGGTTTCAGGTCCTTCGGCAGCCTCTGCGGGGGCGTCGCGACGTCTCGTTTGCTACCCAGCCGCCGCTCTACAGAACGCAGTGACACCAGCTCAGTTGCAGCGAAGTGAAACGTGGGTGCGGAGGGAAGCTTAAGAACACCAGATTGATGTCTTCAATTCTCGTCCGCTTTGTCAGCTGCTTCAGTGGCAGGACAAGATCAGAAAGGTGAACTCAGCAACTGCCTCCATCAGCACTGGTTTGGTTTCTGCAGCTCGCCTGGTATGGGCGTATTATTAAAATGGAAAACCAACCAATTCCAAGGCGTGCGCACCAAGGGATGCTGCTACGTGGCCAGTGATCACACAGGCGTCCAAAGCTTTGGTGGCATGACAAGATTGCCAGAGATGGATACAAACTGAATATACAACCCGACCGCCTTAAGTCCCTTGCCAGAGATTGAGCTGGGTGGCGCTCAATCTCCAAGGAGGCCACGCCCCTTTGGGACGTGCCATGATGACGATGACGTAGTATCAGGCTAGGGGAGGGATCGTGACTGCAGGAATTCAGTGGCCAGGCAGGAATGCCTGGGGCAAGCGGCAGACCAGACCCTGCGCTGCGGCTGTGAGTACATCCCCGAGGCGGGAGTAGGCTATGCCGGTCCCACACTCTGTCCCAACTCAGGTGGTGGATTTTGGCTCCTCATCCCCAGCACACTTGGATGAAAGGGTTAATGAATCGACTGCTGCCATCTCTGGGCAGTCGGTACGGTTCAGGGGACTTGGTACGTGAGACGTGGAGCTTTTTACTTCCTGTTCCAATCCGCCAGAGGCTGGGAGCGAGTGAAAGCGGCCAGCATCACCAGGCGGCCTGTGTGAAAGGGGCTGGTGCTCTCCATCCAGCTCACAGATGGCAGGTGACAATACAGGAACTTGTAATCCCCCTGCACTGATCCTGTACAAGGACTGTGGGCCCGTCCGGGGTTCAGGGAGTGCCTGGCCTCCTGCTGGACCACTGCACAGGATGACTTTCACCCAGCCGGCTCTACCTGGCAACCAAGGCCCCTGATTTCAGTCAGCATGAGGCAGGCATGTCTCTCCTCACCCCTACAGGTGACTCCTTGAGGGCTGTGTTAAAGCGAGTGCATGGGGCAGCCTTGGAAAGTTTCCATTAGCACCGCTTGTGTGGGAGCTGAGCAGAGGGTTCGGGCTCCCAGTGGCATCAACCTTTCCCAAGAACCCAATGCAATAAACCGTTTTAAAAAACCCCTCTGAAATACTTTCTATCGGGGGCACCTGGCCCATTTCCCCCTAACGAGCGGGAGGAGAATGAGAGCGAAGACCGCCCGCCCTAAACAGTGATGGCGGCAGAATGGCAGAAAGCCTAGATCCCTTTACCTTGTTGCAGTTAGTCAGGTGGGCTTTCAGGCCAGAAACGCTGGAGTAGATGGCTTCACAGCTCTGCAGAAAGAAACAAAGAGGCAGAGAGGTCTAGCAACTTGCTTCCTGTCTTTCTATATTTCATGGACTGCAGCCCACTGTACCCAGGAGGCTGTCTTTGATTGCCAGCCCTGGATAATCAGCATGAGGTTAATTTTCTGTGTGATGCACAGGGATCGAGCCACACGTTTCCTATTAGTGCTAATGGGAGTCATGTGGCTACGTTCCTCTGCACCAGAGCTGAAAAATTTATCCCTAAATGTCTCTGTGAAAAATGTACCTTTTCTAGCGGTTAGGAGGCCCCGCTGAGCGCCCGGAGTTCTTACAGCCGCAGCAGAAGATCCAGGCAGAGAGGCTAATTACCAGGCAGTAGCATAACCAGTTTCTGAGCAGCGTCTTTTCAAAGTGCATGTAGATGACATTAATTAGCTAACACGTCTCACCCTGCTAACATCCTGGCTTTAAAATTCCCATTAGCAAGGCTTCGTTCCGGATTATAAATCAATAGCCCAGTGAGATGGGTGCAGTTCACATCCAGAGGAAAGACAGGCAAAGCCTGAGTTTCAGAAGAGATTAGATGCAGACGTGCACACCCAAAATGCACGCACCTAATCCACAGGGGAAATGACGGTGGCTGTGCATGCACAATTGGGTATGTTTGCGTGCAAACAGCTCATCTTTGCTCTTTGCACATGCAGTTACTTGAGTTGCACAATCAGTTACTATAGTCACATCTGTCTAAGAGAGTAAAAATCAGACCCTGACTTGCTTTAATAAGGGACAATCTAGGGAAATGTGGGTCCTGTACAAGACTCCCTGGATCAAAACCTGCACGTCTTTATTTAGGCAAAACTTCAAAAAGCAGCTCCCATAAACCAGAGCCTGCAATCTTTAGGAAGGTCCCTCTGAGCCGCTCAACAAGCAGAGCTCTCCCCTTAGAACAATGAACCCCAGATTCCCATTGCCACTCTCTACCCTCTGGCTGGTAATTATGTCCATCAGTATTATAATGAGTACCCCAGGAGTGCACAGAGATTGGACATGCTTCAAATAGTCATATGAATGGGCCAAATCCTGAAGTCTTTACTCAGGCCATGCTCCATTAACTTCCCTGGGAGGGTTACCTAAGTACGGACTGAATAAAAACCTGAGCAAGCATCTCAGTGTTCAGTTCCGGGGTTTTCCCATTGAGAATTCCCTCCTTCTACTGAACATTCCAGCTGTGTGTTTTCTTTTGAAAAAATCACACCCGTGATATGTACAGAGAACCTCCTTACGTTATTGGGGCAGTTGATGTGTCCCTTCTCCTTCACTTCATTTTTCCAGGTTTCCAACAGCCTCGGATTTAACTTCGGAAGCCCCGGCCGGGTGTAATTTAGCTGCCAAACAATAGAACATTATTAGTAGAGCTGCGTGCACCAGCCCTCTGGGCCTTTGAATGGGTTCCCGCCCCCCCCCAAGACGTGAATCAGGGCTGAACAATGAGTTTGGAGGTTTCAGCCAAAGTCCTTCATAGCTACGTCATCCTCACCACGGAACATACTGAACGCAATCCAGCGTGAGAGTCGGTCTCTGTTCTGGAGTGGCCAGGGATTGGGAATGAAAGCGAGGCTGGTTAAGGTATATGACAGAGTAGCGCGGGAGAATTGTCTACACTACAACTGGTGCCAGCCAGTACTATTTGAAGCAGCCGTTTTCTGAAGACGGAAACGTAGCTGTCCTGGAGTCTGATCTCCCATTGACTTCAGTGGGGGCAGTACTGGGCCCAACATTTCCACTCTTTCGTGCTAAAGATGCCCCTGTAGCATTGCTGCACTTCCTAACCAATTAACAAACAACACTCTATTGTTGGCAGAGGGGGTGATGTCTAACTTTCAACAGCCTATCTGGCTTCCATCCACTGATTAACAGGACTATTCCATTAAACAATGAAAGACTCTGTGTCTCCGTCTGCTCTCTTTTTTGGCTTGGCCTCTCATTCCAAGTTCCCTCATTCCAAGTGGCCTCTCATTCTCATTTTAATTACAGCTTTGTTAGTAACTTTGGGGCTTAGTGTAAGGGACCAGACCTTCAAATGGACCTCACTGTAGACTCCATTTCTGTATGCGCAGCTCTGCACACACAATCATGTCCATGGGCAATTTCTGTGCTGTACTCTTGCACGTGCATCTGTTGGCTTAAGTTTTCAGGAAAATGTACACGCAACTGCCTGCTTACTTTGCAGGCTGTGTTGTGGTAATCGTATTCATAAATGGTCATTTACATAGTCTAACTAGCTAGCTGCATATGCAGCTACTGCTGTTGCATTTTTGTGTGTGGAACTGCAGACAGTTTTCTGAACATTTAGATTGATGGATTTTGGATGTGTGAATTCTACCATCTGTGCTCACAAGTGATAATGCAAAAATTAACTACGCTTGCAAAAGAACAGGACTTGTTTGGAAAGTGGTCCCCAAAGGAATTCAAGATCACATTTTCCAATAGAATTGGGAGTTGACAGTCTACATTTCTTTCCCATCTGTGACTTTTCTGAACATGCTGATTTTGCCTTCTTGCCTTCTTCTACCTGGGCTGGGACAACATGCTTCCCTTCCGGCAATCTGCTCTGCTCTGAAACATGGCACTTGCTGAGAAAGCGGATGCCAGTGTCCTACCAAGTTCATATGACTTTAATCACCCAGAGGTCTGTCCTCAAACACAGGCCTTTCATTGCCAATCAGATGTCACCGAAAAATGAAAGAGCCACATCTCAGAACAGACCATTGAGCGACCTCCATGCGCTCAACTCTGTCCAGGAGAAACAGGGTGCTATAACTGGAGGCTAGATGGAGCCAACACAGATTTCTGACGGGAATCCTTGCTTGGAGCTGTGTGGGGATGCCATACCTGAGTGGGGAGGAGAACACAAAGCATTGCCCACTGCCCCTGAAACCTACAGCTGGGCAGCAAAGGTCCCATGCAATTAATTAAAACTTTAAACAAATCAATAGATAACACAAATGAACACTAATAGCAACTGGATACGGAGCCAGCAGCTGCCCGACCCCGCAGCCTCACAAGGGGCGCTGAGATTCCAACATCTCTAGTCACTCCAGCTTCCCCGCTCCAGAGAGAAATCAGTGTCACAATAACTTGCAAAGACCACGTTTCCCCAGAGCACTGCAGTTCCAGAGACGTCAGCATCATCTTTATGTCTCTATTAAGAAGGAGCCTCAGGCATGGAATATTTTATGTTTTCCATTTATTTTCTCAAACGGCCTGTAAATAAAAATCTTCATGGCCAAATCATTAAACAGCTACAACTGTATTTGGCTAGGGCCCATCATCATTTCAGGAGAATAGCTGGAGTGGGGAGATGGAGTGGGGTGGGAAGGCTTTTTGACTGACAGTTGTATTTAATTAGCTTTCATATTTCAATCCTCTTCCTCTAGACAGCTCTTCTTCCCTAAAATACACCATAACAAATCAAAACCACACTTACTGCCCAAGCCAGAGCCAGCAAACTGCAAATCAAGCAGGCTTTATGAGTCAGAGAGGTTCTTAACACAAGACACTGTTCTCTGATCACATGCTGCCTCTGTAGAGCAAAAGCTCTGGGAGGAAGAGGAGATACAGTTAGTAGGCAATTCACCTTCGGAGATGTAGGTTCAAAGCTAGTTGGGTTACAAGTGTAATGAGTTTGTGAGTCTCAGCCCCTAGATCCTTAATTAATTGGCTTTTGTGCAGAGCACAGAACTCTGTTTTTTGAGATGGGCTGGAACCAGCATCTTGCATCCTAAACTCATTCCTGCCCCCACCTGGGGTTTGTTGGAAAATCCAAACCCAGATTTGAATTTTGCCGCCTTGCTTTATAATAGGCCAAGACAAATGTTCATATCTAACCCGGCCTGATTTTGGAGGTGTTGGAATCTAGATCCCAGTCTGGATTTTACAGCCTGAGCCCAGGTCTAAACTTGGCATAGTTCTTCGTTTAGCCAAAGGCCAGAACTGGAACTCGGCAGCTGCCTATTGGTGGATGCACTGAGGCGTATTTCCTCCTTTACACTAGCAGCTTTGCTAGCGCATTTCAGCCTCGATTGGTGCGAAAACATCACCCCTCAGTCCTCCAAACAGATTGCCAATGGAACAGTGGTGTGGATAGATGCTCACAAGAGGCTAAGGCGAGACCAACCAATTCATTGCACATGTGACCTCAGCTCAGATTTGAGCCTCCAGTTCCAGGAGTGAACAGGGCTTATTCACTGAAAGCTAGGCCTAGGGTTGCCAATCCTCCAGGATTGTCTGGGAGTCTCCAGGAGTTAAAGATTAAGCTTTAATTAACGATTACGTCATGGGATGAAACCTCCAGGAATATTGGCACCCACCAGAACAGGCCATAGCACTCAGCCATTACTTTGCAGGCACATCTAGCAAAACCACAAAAGCAAATCACAGTTTAGCTCCCAAAAGACCACAACAGAGACTGGAGAAGAACAGGGCTAGGACGGCAGAGTCCCTGCCTGAGATAAGGCACATTAAATCTAGGACAGGGGAGTCGCTCTGGGCTTGCTGCAGAGAATTGCTTCTCCAAATAAGACTGGTCCACAGAGGGAGGGCACCAAACCATGAAACAGATCTTTTGTCCCCTTGCCTCTTCGAAGTTTGTTCCTTGTGCTCCAGAGAGACAGCACTGCATGATTTCTTTCCTTCAAAGTGTTGTGGTACGGACACACATCACTCCAGAGCCTGGAGCGGGCGCGAACAAAGTCTGAGATCTGAGTGATGCCACATCCGGGATATGTTAGATTCATTAAGTCCCAGTAATGCCAGAGGAGGTTCAAGCTGAAATCTGCACAGTGTCTTCCTGGGCCTTTCCCAGAACGTGCCCTTCAAAGCGTGACGTATCCAGCAGCCACCTAGTGTGGAACACGTCATCCGTTTCAGTTTAACCAGAGTCATATAAAGATTGTGGGCAAGAAAACAAGGCTCTAGTCGATATTTAGAAACGTGGATTTGCTTAGCGCAGAGAGGAACATGTTGTTGACGTGCATTAATTTTGGAGGAATTGTTTTTCTCTAGTGCCATAGAGCCTGGGTTATGAGGAGCTTGTTAAATTGTCCCACAGTCATTATAACAACCCCCATCTGCAGAAGCTGCATTTAGGTTCTCAGCTCTATAGCAGCCCTCATGAGCTACAGGAGAACTTCAATCAGCTGGTCGTTGTAGAAGTTTGTTATCTTCTGTGGGGGACCAGCCACTAGAAGGGAATGTAACACACACTGAGCAAGCAGTAGACCTGGGTTATGAATGTAAAGAGGGGTACATCCATTTAAGAAACTTTCCACTGGGGCTCGGAGCGAACAAATTGTCAGCTGGGGGAACTGACAGAACTGAATTGTTCCTCTAAGGGATAAAGAGGTTGCGGTGAGTTATTTTGCAATTGTGACGTACCAAACTACTCCCAGGATTTAAAACGTTGTTCTCAGGACTATCAAAGGTGCCCTGAAAGGGGGAGAGATGGGAGACGTTGCCTTTTTCATGAGCATTTTCCCTCCCAATGCTGTGGAAGTGGTGGCTAATAGATGGGGAATTCTGAGGGGCCGGGGACTGAGGGGGTCTCTTTCTAAAGCAGATGGCAAGTATCTGGCTCTGGCCTTTACGAAAGAGCATAAGGCCTTAGGCACCCAAAGTTGGGGGGCACCTAATTCCCTTCTAACCCTTGAAAATGGCAGCCTTGTCTACACTAGGGAGGGTTTACTGGTGTAGCTTCACTGCGGCCCTTCCCCAGTGAAGATGCTGTTTACCCCCAGTATAGCTCAGATCACTTCCCCAAACAAAATAAGCTACACGAGCAAAAGGACTTTTTTCTGCTGGTATGAATGTGCCAACCCTAGGGCTTCTGCCAACACAGATATGTCAGCAAGGGGAGGGATTTCTTCCCCCTCCTGACTGACAAGTTTAGCCCAGGGCTGAGTGAAGCAAGCCAGTTTAGTGGGGAAAAAGGCAATTCTGAAAGAAAGGGAAAAAAAAAAAAAAAAAAAGCAAGCAAAGCAATGCAGCGCCTAGCAGTGTATTTTAAAGTCAGCAAAACTCCTATCGGCAGCCCAGCGAAGACCCTCCTGCCTCTTTCGTGGCTGTTTATTTTGCCAGTGAAGAGGGCGTATAATGCATTTACTTTTTGAAAAGATGAGTTGTCAAGGCAACGAGGCCCTGTTTGCAACACACTCAAGGCTTTCTGAGGAAAAATTCATCTTTGTGATATCGACCCTACCTAAAAGTCAAGGAGCGATTCGCCCATCACAACCCCCTGGATATGTCAGCTTGCAGTCAGACTTCTTGAGATCGAGGACCCTTCTTTGGAGCCCAGAATCTGGATTAAGGCCCTTTAATCATATTTTTTAGACAAAGTATTAACTAGCAGTGACTTTCCCACAAGAGGCTGACATCAGTGTTTTGGCTAAGAATATGGGGGAAGATGTTACGCCTCTTTATGGGGAGGACTCAGCGTTCATGCATTCCTGGGAATGACCTTTCTTTTAGAAATCATAGCACTCAGGGACTGAAATTCAGAGCAATCGGAAAAGGATTTCACAGAGCTGCAGCCTGGTAAAAGGCCCAGGGCCCTGTATAGAAAGTAAAACATGCTCCCCCACCCCAAAATACAAAACAAAAAACCACCAAAGAGGGAGCGGGACTCTGGCAGGAGATATGGTGGAGAGGGGCCCAATGGAACAGCTTTAGAACTCAAATCCAGATCTGAATTCCACAGCTGGCCCCCGGACTCTATGATGAACCCCCTCAAGGCTCCTGATCCCCAAACTCTGGGCAAGCCTCAATCCAGATTCAAACCCATTTCTTGTGGAACAGGGGTCTGATCACGCTAGTGGCAGAGCACCGTCTACGTGGCACTAAGCGCCGTCACTTTCCACTGACGTCTAAGGGAGTCGGGGATACTCAGCGTTTCACAGGAGGAGGTTCTAACTAGATCTTTAAATGTACCAATAAATGCCCTTTCCCCTTCGAGACTCGTTGAAAAATTAGTTTTGTTTCTTAACAGAGGGCTGTGGCTCATGTCCCTGGTTACAATCAGACAAGGGAAAACATTAATAAAATCTAAACAAATGAAAACGTCTGAAATAAAAAGGAACATTATTTCTAGGGGAAGTTCCTCCCGTTCGTAGTATTTGCTTGTACAGCTCCTAGCACACTGAGGTCTTGGTCCATGACTGGGACTCCGAGGTGCTATGGCAACACAAATCATCATCATCACCACGAGGCAAAGCAAAGCAATACAAGGCGAGAAGGGAAACGCCGCTGGGTGGCAGAGACAAGCGATTGCTAGCAAGCTCCTTACAGAAGGTGAAAGCCCACATCTGAGCAGTGATGGACAGCGAGCTGAATGCCTCTCTCGCCAGCTAATTCAAGCAATGGTCAGAAATGGAGCCGGCAAAAAAAAAAATCCAGTTTTAATTTCAGCAAAAAAATTTCAATTTTTCAGTGAAAATATTCGAAACAAAACAGAATTTTGGTTTCAAAATTTATTCTTCTTTGGTTGAAAAACATCAAACTGGTTTCCCAAAGCACTTTGGTGTCGGCAAAACTGAATTTTTCAACAACAAAAGATGTCAACCAGCTCTAGCAATCAAGCTTTCGGGCTTACGGCACAGCTCGGCTCTAAAATAGGCTGTGAAAACAACGGCATCACGGGGCGGTGTTCATTGCCTCTCGGCGACGCCCAGATGTCATCTGCTCAGAGAGCGAGAAGGAAGATGTATTTTCTAACCTCCCACTCTGCCCACGCAGGCTGGGATCCGAGAGTCAGGCTGGGTTCTTTGGGACTTATGCCTCTCAAGTGACGATAAATGCTGCAGTCAGAACTTACTGAACAATTCTGCTGAAAACACGAGAGCCAGAATGGATTAGAATAGACAGGCCGAGTCTACTGAAAGGACACTGGATTCAGGCTTGGCTTTTATTCCCAGCTGTGTCACTCATATTCCTTAGTCCGGTCACTTCACCGCTCTGTGCATCTGTTTCCCCCCATTCCCAGCCTTTGTCCGTCTTTTCTATTTAGACGATAAGGACTTTGGGACAGGGAGTGTCTCACTATATATATATACAGTGAAGAGCACGGTGGGGCCTCTAGGCTACTGTAATCAAAACCCTAATGACCAGAATCCCACTCGCTCTGCCGTAGCTGTATCAGCTCTGCAGTGCTGAACAGGAAGAAAACCTTACGAGTCACTATCGTTAACAGGATGACAAGCAGGAACAGAGCTTTGGAACAAGACTGCCATTTTCAGAGTCACTTTTCAGAGCAGAAGCCCACTTTGGGGGAATTCACCCATGCAGCGGGCTAGCACGGCCTAAACACACTACCCAACTCCCACCTAAGCCCTCGAACCAGTGCTGGAATGGTGCATATGCTTCTGCACAGGGATGGATTTAAGAGCATTCGATAAAATGCGCAAGCCCATCAAGCAAGCAAGGAAGGCCAGAGTCTAACTGCAAGGACACCTGCTTTGCTTCGTTCTTTACTCAGGAAGCAGGTTCGCAGCTGGTAGGAGGGCACGCAGACTGGCTGTGCCGACTACGCCTCAGACTGCTGAACCATCAATCCGAACGACTGAAGAGCTCCTTTTCTTCTCTGTGTACTGACATGAGCTTTACCATTTGATTCGAGTAACTGCCTGCTGCGGCACAGGATGAGGAAAACATCTCTCCCCGGGGAGGGTCATCCGGGAGTTTTCGCAGGTATTGCATCCCCAGGGATCTGGGACGGGAAGTTTGATTTAATTGCATGTGACTTTTAAATTTGTGGAGTACCGCAAAGCGGCCCGGGAACTCCAATGCACTGTCAGATCCTGCGGCGCTGGGATAAACTCTTGTCATCGGCGAGAGGGTTCTGTGTTTCAGTCTTGAGAGATGGAAAATGGGCAGGTTTTTCATGCAAACTGCAAGAGGCGTTGCTCTCGATCAGAGCTGGGTATATCTCATCACTCTGGGCTGGGCCCCAGCTCGGGGCGCAGGCAGCACAGTGCAACGAGTCCTTTCGGTCTTCAAGGACGCTGGGAAAGAAGCTTCTCCCAGTGGCCAAGGGAAGAGAACTGGAAGGAAGTGGATCGTATCTGAGACTTTCATGCCCTTTGGCAGCACAACGAGGAGGAGGACGGAACTGCAAGACCTGATCCCCAATCACCATGTCCTTCCTAGGGTACGTTCACAAGGGCTGCGGGTACATCTACACTGCGGAGAAAACCCCATGGCACCGAGTCTCAGAGCCCACATCAACTGTCTCGGGCTGGCAGGGCTAACAATAGGAATGTAGACGGCCCCACTCGGGCTGCAGCCTGAGCTCTGAGACCATAGACCAGAGGTGGGCAAACTACGGCCCGTGGGACTGTCCTGCCCGGCCCTTGAGCTCCTGGCCAGGGAGGCTAGCCCCCGGCTCCTCCCCTGTAGCCACGCTGCCGCGTGGGCAGTGCTCTGGGCGGCGGGGCTGTGAGCTTCTGCTGAGCAGAGCAGCAGCGTGTCTAGCTCCCGCCGGGCGGCGCGGCTGCCAGACATGCTGCTCTGAGTGGCATGGTAAAGGGACCGGGGGGGTTGGATAAGGGGCGGGGGGTCCTGGGGGGCAGTCAGGGGACAGGGAGCGGGGGCGATTGGATGGGGTGGAGGTTCTGCGGGGGGGAGCAGTCAAGGGATGGGGAACGGGGGGGTTGGATAGGCGTGGGGTCCCAGGGGCCCTGTCAGGGGGCAGGGGTGTGGATAGGGGTCGGGGGTAACTGGGAGCAGGGGGGTTGGATAGGGGGTGGGGTCCCAGGGGGCCTGTCAGAGGGCGGGGGTGTGGATAGGGGTCAGAAGACTGAGAGCAGGGGAATTGGATGGGGGTGGGGTCCCGGGAGGGGGCGGTCAGGGGACAAGGAGCAGGGGGGGTTGGATGGGTCGGAGGTTCTGAAGGGGGTAGTCAGGGGGCGGGAAGTGGGTGGGGGCTGTTTGGGGAAGCACAGCCTTCCCTACCCGGCCCTCCATACAGTTTTGCAACCCCAATGTGGCCCTCGGGCCAAAAAGTTTGCCCACTCCTGTTCTAGACCAACTCCAGCCCGAGCAGGAAATCTACACTGCTATTTTTAGCCCTGCAGCCCAAGCCTCATGGTGAGACTCAGCGTTGTGGGTCTTTTACTGCAGTGTAGACACACCCTGTAAGACCCAGGCTTGTGGACTTGGTGCTTCCAAGCCGTGCTTGAGCATCCGCGCCGCATTGTAAACCTGGGCTAGCAATTGCTGGACCTGGGTCTCGCTGCCGCGCCAACACGTCCGTATTGCACTACGTAGACCATCTGACTGGGGTCTGTGGCTTGACCTGTTTCCACACTGCAAAATGACAGGGCTTGGACCCGAGTCACAGCAGGACTTGGGCTCTGACCCACCGCCCTGGCAGAGTCCTAGCACCTGGGTCCTGAGTACTTGCTGATCCGAGTCAGACTGACGTGTGTGTGGATGGAAGAGGGGCTTGGGCTCAAATCTGAGTCAGAGCCCGGGCTTCATGTGCTGTGTAGACACACCCTGAATCGCCAGCTCCCTCCAGTCCCACACCCTCTCAGCCAAGCTCCCTCCAG